CGCTCATTAGCCTCAGTCGCCTCTCGGGTGGCACTGAGACCATGAACTCCCAAACTCAAAGGATAAGCTCAACTCCTTACTTCTCCACCGATGCGATTTTCACGTCCTTTTCCCTCCTTGATTTCTCAAGGCCGTCCGCGAACAGCTTTGCAGTGGCAGCCATACGCTCCTCCTCAGCTGCGCTTTTCGCCGATACCTGCTTAGTCCCCTCAGAGAAGCCTCCTACAGCCTGAAAGAGCAACCAATCAGTAGATCGGGGAGGCCTTCTAGCCTACGTTAGCTGAGGCTGCATTCGCATCTCGGTTGAATGCTGTGAGTGTAGCATTCATACTGGCCTTGTATGCGGCAGCTTCACTGGCTTCATTTCGAGCCATCCACTCCATTTCCTGAGGAATTCACGCATTTTTCTAGCTATCATAATCCCTCTATCTACACTCAATGAATAGAGCAACCATAATAACAAAGGAGAGGCATTTTGCTGTTGTTGCAAATTCCTCTTAGTCGCTGAGTACATGCGATGCAGATAATACCGAGGCTATGCATCAACATAAACTGTTGATCTAGATGACTCGAGGGGGGAGAAAAAAGCGATAATAAGTAATCGATTGACTGACCTTCTCAGCCTTCTTAGCCGCCTTGACACCATCCAGGAGAGTGTTGCGGACTATCTCCTGTTGCCTTACCATACCACGCGCGAAACCCTGAGCGATCAGCATAGACACGGGACCCTCTCAGTCGGTTCGCTCACCGAAAGGGCTTTTTTAGCATCGTTTTTCGCCTCCCGCGATTTGCCTCTCATCGCCAACTCCGACACCAGTAAAGCCGATGCGGCCTTCCGCGACGCAGCCCGCGCCTCCGCGTCGATTTGCTGTTTCTTTATACTCGTATCCCTCTCGAGACCCGCCATGAGTCGCTGAGCCTAACCAAATTACAAGAGCTCAGCAGCCGAGACGGCCAAGAGTAACTCACGCTAGCTCCAATGGTCACATTGGTTGAACCAACGTCTACCGCCGGCTCTTTACCAATCTCCTTCATATCTTGATCAAGCTGGGATTGGATCTCCTGTACCAAGCCGTCCTTATGCGCCATAGCTGAGATGGGAAGCAAAATACAAGAACATAGAGTGAAGCTGATTAGCATTAATACTTTCCACGACTTTTTTCAATGCCTTGGCTCTTTCCAATGTACGATTAGTCCTTTCAGCGACGTCCGAGGCAATAGATGCGACGAGACCTTTGACCACCGACACTGTACTCCACAGCTTCACCAGTGGGCTCCCAGTCGACTCAGTGCTGAGGGGAGCATCCTCATGCATCCTCCCGACTTGAGCTCACATCTGCTCTGCTCTGCCGTCTACGTCCTTGTAGTGCTGCAGAGCCTTACTGCCAAGCCGTTTAGCCATCGCGGTGAAGTTACTCTCATATTCAGCGCCAGCCTAGAAAACAGGGCGTCAATTCGGGCGGCAGAATTGAGATAGTATTCGTGAGCGATCGGGATAAGGACGAGTCAGTCGAGAAGGATGAAGTTAAGGAGACTCACATTAGCAATTTTGGACCGCCCAGCATCGAACATCGCCGACATCTCGCGGTAGACCTCCTCAGCAACCGCGCGGATCGCCACTGATGAGGGGCCTCGGGATTCACTCTGAAAATGGAATGTAACTGTGTTGACGCTGACCATAGTGCAGAACTTTCACGATTCCAAATGTGGTGATGTTTTGTAATGACCATAGTTTACGAAAGAGCGATTCACGCTTCACAGGGTAGAAAACTGTCGACACACACTAACCTTACCAAGTTGACTCTCAGATTCTTCACATCTCCCACAGCTCGAGGAATTGTGTACTCAAGCGATCCCACTCTGATCAGAGATACATAACGGAAAAGTCTAGCCGAGAATAGATAAATGAGCGCTCGCTCTAGGACGCAAGTAAATAGTAGTGGGATAGGAGCCAGCTCACATGTCGTCGCTTCCAATAGCATGTTCAGCATCTCCTAGTCCTCCGAGGAATCCCAAAGCTCGCATCTTCTGTGCTGCTGCTGTGATATTGTCAATGGACTGTAGCTGTACTGGTAGGGAAGATTGCAACCCTGAGAGCATTGTTTACACTATATGCTCGATACACGGTTGCCACTGGGGAGCCTACGGTCGGAAAATTCTTTCACTTGAGTGTAGCGGGCTCCTTGGCATGCAGCGTTGCAGAATACATTAGTGTTGTCGCCTTCAGTGAACTTCTCTCTCATTTCTGAACACCAATCGATGACAGAATACAACCCTATGTAGACTAGCTATCCATCTAGGAACACAGCGGACGAGACGAGAAGATATGCGTTTTTACCAGGAGACAGTGTGGGAATTGTCGTTGTAGTAGTGGTCGTAGTTGTCGTTGTAGTGGTTGTGGTCGTCGTAGTAGTAGTTGTTGTTGTTGTAGTAGTAGTTGTCGTAGTTGTTGTTGTCGTAGTAGTAGTGGTAGTGGTCGTAGTTGTCGTTGTCGTAGTCTTGGTTGTTGTCGTCGTTGAAGTAGTGGTAGTCGTCGGTGTGGTTGTGGTTTTCCGGGTGTCTGAAAGTGGCACGACTGTTTGATGTCTCGCGTGGTCTATCGGCGAGCGTTTCGATCGATGTTCCCTTCAAACCTCAAAGTCCGAGTAGCGAACCTCTTACATGTATTGGGGTCACATATAGCTCTCTTCGTATACTCCAGCGATTGTCCGGGGGTAAATCCCAGCTGTTTGAAATATTCAACACACCACTCCTTGCCATGTGCCCCGGGAACCGCGAGGTTGTTCGGAATATGGCTCTTATGCCGGAAGGAATTCTTCCCGGGGGCATCACAATTATTCAACGAATACTGGCCGGGTTTGATCATTAATTTGATGGTCTCTGTAGTTCCCAAATCGCATCGATCATGATGGGCGTAGTATGATGCCTGGTCCTCCCATCCGACTGGCTCTGAGAGAGATGAAGCTGAGAATGGGATTCCTCAGAAGGTGAGCATTCCATAAGATTTTTTTCACTACGCCTCCGAGACGAAGGAACGGAGTTTGAAATGTTTGTAACGGTCGCGGGTTCGATTCGCGGCAGGGGCCTTTCCCGAGGATTTCCCGCTCGCTCTCCGTCACAGCGCACATCAGTTTCGAAAATGCGCGTGGCAGCATACGCTCCGCTGGCTTCGCGAATACGTGATGTGTCTCAGTGCTGAAGCTGCATGAGACATCCCAACACCATACGACAGCGTGTCCGAGTGGTTAAGGAGGTGGACTTGAAATCCACTAGGCTCTGCCTGCGCAGGTTCGAATCCTGCCGCTGTCGTTCAAGGTCTTGGCACACATCAACACTTGATACTCTGATGTCTATTGGAACTCCACATGGATAACTCACTCGAAATTGTTGTTGTTGTTTGTGTTGCAGTAGTGGTGGTCTTTTGGGTATCTATAAAACTAATATCAGAACAGCCCGATTCCCTAGGGATGAATGGAGACATGTGGAATTCCGTGATGACTATGTTCTATACAAAGGCTATCTAT